TCCTTTGGCGGTTGGTTTGCGAATTGAAGGATTTTGCGACAAGGAGTTAAATGGCCATATTAGTTTAATCGGTGTTGTGTACCAACAACTTGATATGGTGTCGAAACCCCTAGTGGCGTGGGAGACCGCTCAATGGAAGATCCATCGTCAAGTCATCAAAAAGTCTGAGTTGGTATCGGAAGTGGCTGAAGTAATCCAGCCGGTTTCAAGGCTAAATGCTTATTAACTTGACATATGGTACAGGTCTGAACGAAATTCTGGATATCCTTCTTCATGCCTACCTAATAAGCGACATTGGCTACTCTTTTATACGTTCGGAAGAACCCTGAGTGACCACCAGTTGGGCTGGAGTGAAATTCAAATAATAGTTTCTGAATGAAACGAGAACCCTTGGGTAGAACCAACCTATCCTTGTACAATAAGCAGCCATGGCGAAGTTTGTAGTGCTGTCGACTGTTGGGTGCCAAAACCAGATCTTGAATCAGCTGTCAAAGCTTGGGGTCTTGATGGGCTTCAGTTGCTAAATCCTCATACTCCGTAAACTGTCTCACTGTCAAGGAAGATAATTCTGGTTCCTCTTCTTGCCGCGATAAAGCATCAGCTACTGTATTAGTGGTTCCCGGCCAATAATGGATATCAAACGTAAACCCCATCAATTTGGACACCCATTTCTGCTATTCTGGGGTTTTAATCCGCTGATCCTTGAGGAATTGGAGGCTTCGCTGGTCTGTTCGAATGATGAATTTCCTCCCTAATAAGTACGGGCTCCATTTGTGCACTGCGAACACGACAGCCATAAACACTCTCTCGTAAACAGATTTTTGTTTAGCTTGAGGGGAGAAGGCTTTACTTAAATAAGCAATGGGTTGTCTTTTCTGAACCAATACAACCCCCATTCCCTATCCCGATGCGTCAGTGTGGATCTCGAATGGCGAGTTGAAATCTGGGGCTGCCAAAAACAGGAACTGAGGTCATGGCATCTTTTAAGGCAAGAAAGGCTTGTTGCGCCTCTTAATCCCAACTAAAAGAATTTTTCTTCAATAATCTTGTGAGTGGTTGTGCGATGCTGCCGTAACCCTTTACAAACCTGTGATAGTATCCCGTTAATCCCAAAAATCCACAGAGACTCTTCACATTAGTGGGTGTAGGCCAAGAAACCATAGCGGCAACTTTCTGCGGATTAGCCTCAACCCCATTGGCCAAAATTAGATGCCCCAAATACTCCAGCCTCTGCTGCCCGAATAAACATTTCTTAAAATTCCCAACCAATTCATTATCATCCAGAATCATAAGAGCTTGCTGTAGATGGCTGATGTGTGATTCCAAGTCAGGGCTGTAAATCAAAATATCGTCAAAAAACACAAGCACAAACTTACGCAGAACTGGTTTGAAAATGCTATTCATTAAGGACTGAAACGTTGAGGGAGCATTGGTCAAACCGAACGGCATAACCAAGAATTCATAATGACCGTCATGTGTTCGAAAGGCTGTTTTGGGGACGTCTTCATCCTNCGCAAGCTATTTCCAATAAGACTATGGGATCTGCGGCATCAACTCGCAGTGGCGGTGATGGGACCCAAGAGAACACAAGTGGTTGGACGGATCGATATTCCATGGAAAATTGTCAATCAATTTTGGAAAGTATGCAACTTCCACCGCAAGTATATTTGGATGCTATGAAGTACTTAATTGCCAACCCAGAGTGGCGTCAGCTTATGGTGAACATGTCACATGCGAACAGGGAATATTGGGTTTATAATGATATCCGTCGTCCGTAGATGACGGTTTAGGACTTTGTTGTTGAACTTATTTTCGGTTGTTAGTCTTTATTGATTCTGTTGACATATAAGATATTTTTATATTTACTGTCTTCGTATTGATAACTGAATATTGGGGTACAAGTCATTTTGAGGGATGATTATTAATAGCTTTGTATTATTAATTTAGATATATATTAATGTTGTATTTTTAAATGATATATTAGTAGTTGAACAACTTATGGAGAAATTGTTTTTAATTAAACCCATAAAAATTTACCAAACAACTAATTAATATTATTTAAATATGAATTGAAAAGTTCAATAATTATCAAAAACACCCCTGCGTTCAGCTAACCGATGGCGCGAGTGGCGTGGGAATAAGGTGACACACAAGGCGCAGGCGCGCAGCACATTATTAAATGCAAACAATTTTTTTCTGACACATCTATTGATAATTATAATAAATAAACAAGTCTCCACCAAATGCAAACACTTTTTCAGAAAACTTTAAATACAACTCCACCAACTTTTGTCAGAAAACTTTTTTCAAAAGTGTTAAATACCGAAACAAACGCAACCTTAGTCATTTAAGTTTTTAAGGTGTTTAATAAATCTCGAAAATTAGTTTATGTGTGTATAAGTTAGTCCAGATATCTAGTTACCAAAAAAAAAAAAATAAATGTTAATAATAAATTACACATGTTGAATTGATTTACAGATGGAGATAATAAGCTATTTACTTTGACGAATCTTACGTACTGATTGTTTTTTCGTATTAAACTAAAGTCTTGACTCTTGAGCATATTCAATATAGAAAAGTAGAGGAAGGTATATCTTAATAATGAAATAAACAACTTCAAAATTAAGGATTGCATAGATAAATATAATAGGCCGTTTACTTTAACGACTCTTACCTACTCATTCTTTGTCCTATTACACAAAAGTCTTCATTATATATACTCAATATGGAAAAGTAGAGAAAGACATCTTAACAATAAATAAATCTCTATTATTTTTAATCAATTAGCAAATAAGAAGAAACTTTAGGAATTCATAAATAAATTAAATGATATAAAGAACTTTAAAACAAAAATAACTTNACTAACCCGACTTGCGCACTTTGTAGAACAAGTACGTCCACTTTCTAATTTTCTGTCATATCTATTAATATTATTGTAAATTTGTTATATCAGGTTCTTATGATGACATTCTTAAGTGGTCTCCAAGTTCCAGACAGAATTTTCCATCAGCTTGTTACTTTCCATTTTAGTTTGTCTTACTTAAAGACTCTGGTTAGCTTTTGGTATAGCTTTGTGAATATATTATCATTATACATATAAATATTTCAATTTTGGTTTCTAGGCCCTCATGTGCCAGCCCTATCACTTGGGGCAGACTGAATAAGTGGTTTTAAAATTCTTCTGCATGAACCTTTTACTAACATTTTAATGCTACATTAAAGCATGCAGAATGGTTTTATTTTGTTGAACAAGTACTACGGCAAAAAATGTTTGTTAAAATCATGTCTCGTGTGGGATAACCTTTTAGTTCTTTAACTTTACATTTTGCTGACGTAGCTTACAAAAAGCAGGTGGCAGTTGATGTTGATTTTAAAGATCAAGCTGCAGAACAACAGACAATGCAGTAGAGTCTCCAAAACATCTGCATGAAGACTGGAGCTCCAATGGAATCCCATGCGGCTTCTGTCCTCACTCCTTTTGCCTTCTCTAAGCTGCAAAAGCAATTTGTTTTGGCTGCTCATCATGAATCATTTCATATGAACGATGGTTTCCTTGTGAGACACCACACAAAACTTGAGGGAGGCCGGAAAGCATATTGGGTTCCTCAAGAAGACATCATAAGTTGCAGCTGTCATCAATTTGAATTTTCTGGAATTCTCTGTCGACATGCCCCTTTCGAGTCCTCTCAACAGGAAATTGCTTTCAGACTCCAGAAAGGTATTTTCCCATCCATTGGCGTCGGATCAGCACACATTCCATAAAGCAACTTCAAAGTTGTCTAAGCGAGCATGAAGAGCTGGTTCAGTTACTTCAGAGCGTGGTATCATCTCTGATTGCAGAATCTGCTATGTCAAAGGAGAGGCTAGATCTTGCTACCGAACAAGTTTCCTTCCTTTTGTCTCGCATAAGCCAGCAACCAGTTTCATCACAAGGTTTGAGATATATTTCTCCCCTTCATAGGAATCTGTAACTCTAGACATACCTTAAAACAGTAGCTTTAGCATCATCTCACTTCTTGTGGAAAGCAGAAGGAAACACACCAGAAATTTGACAATGGAAGCAAGTTGGACGCATTTGATTTGGTTTCAAATTCACTTTTATGCAGGCTTGGACTGGACCAAGTTTCAGGCTTGAAGACATTTGCATGTCGGTTTTTGTAGCTTTGTTATATGAGATTGGAAACTAATTAGTCTAATCGTACGTGGTGTAGTATTCTCAGACGTTGTTCGTATTGTGGAGATGTTTGATGAGGATTCTGATATGTACAAATATATACAGAATAGCAGCCTTCTTTTGTATTTCCAAAATGTGCTGTGCTGAGTAGCAGCCTGCTTAAGGATTGAATTGAAAGTTGGGAGTTCTTTCGTCTAAATTACAATATGCATGTAAGGATTTTTAATGCTTATTTCGAGATCCTTACAAAGTTATATTTTTAAGTTTTTAATAAAAGTAACCATTTCAAATGTAAATTTTCCAAAAATCTCTTAGAAAATATATCTAAATATTAAAATTTCTTGCAAAATAATTAAGTTGACTCTTTTTTAGGAAAAAGGTTGGTCTCTGACCTACCCTAACTTTAAGCATGTTAAAGCGCCCCCTATAATTTGTTAATCATAACTTCCTCCTCTATGAGTATCCTAAATGTCCCTTAAATTTTGCTTAATTACCTAACCTCCCCTAGCAAAGGGGTGGTTAGCAATAATTAGAGAAAACTTTAGAGGAGATGAGCCAAAATTTTCAAACTAAAGGGGTTTCTTGTAATAACAAAAATCTCAGCGGTGATGTTATAATTAGCCCGTGAAAATCCTTAACTATGGATATTACCAACAAACCCCAACGTTCTTCATTTTCTCACAAAAATCCATCTATAGACTATTCTCTCTTATAAATCGATGATTTTAATGACACCAAACTAAAATGGAAGCAGCCCATCAGATTTAGAGCTTTCTGAAACTCTCGTTCAGATCCCAGACGAAACGTGGCGTTTCATTCATCACTTCACAACTCTTACCTCAATTTCACACTCTATCTAGTTTGTCTCTCTATGTCACCACCGGTAAGACAGAGAAGAAACCGCAAATTAGCCGCCATTAATAGACCAAAATGGTGAGTTTCGCCCCTCTTTCTCTGTTGATTTGCTGTTGCTTTATTGTATTGATTTTTTTATTCTTTGTAATTTTTTTCAGATAAATTAAAGAAAAAGAAGAATATGCATCCTCCTTTGACGTTGCATAGACACCCCATGTGTGCTGAAGTGAGTTTTATTGCCTTTATTTTTATTTATTTTGTGGTTTTGGAAGTGCTTTTTCAGAAGTGCTTTTGATTGTTGATGTTTCTGGAAAAGCACCCAGTTAGGAAAGATTGGCTAAAAGGGTGCATCTGAAAGTGCTTTTCCTAATTTCAAAAAGTGCTTTTTTTTTTTTTTTTTGGGTTGTGTCTTTTTTGTAGTGTTTTGGTTGGTATTAGACAGAAGCGCTTCTTGGTAGAGAATTTTCTGGTGTTTTTATATCAACTGTTTTGCTCAAAATGCTTTTGTATAATTACTTTGAAATAGATTTGGGAGTTCATTTAGCAATTTCACCTTTTTTAATCTTAATAAAAAAGTGCTTCTGCGTTTAGTTGTTCAATAGTGTTTTCAATATAAGTGTTTCAGAATAAATTTTTGGAGTTGTTTTGGCAATTCCGTTTTGTTTTCTCTTTAAATAAAAAGGGCTTTTAGGTCCTGTTGAAGTACTTTCAAACATTTGGAGGTTCAAATACATTTGGAGGTTTCTTTTGTAGAATTTGGTGTGCAATAGAGAAAAGCGCTTCTAGGTTTTTGAACATTTAAGGTGTTTTTACTTGAAGTGCTTTTTATAAAAGTACTGCGAAATGCTTGACTTAAACGCCGCAAAATGGGTTAAAAACGGCACTTTTGAATGAAGTATTTCCAAATGCACACTAGATATAATTTATAACTAGAAGTTTATTTAATTCTGGTCTTCATTGAATATCAGATTATTGAGGAGTTTCAGAAATGTCATATTGACCATCCTATTGGGAAATTCTTCGGCGAATGTACAGAACTCAAAATAAAGCTTGATCGATGTTTTCGACAGAAGTGAGTTATATTGATTGTATAACACTTTTCTGTTTCTTGTTTGAAATCCATATATGTCTTGTGATAAAACCTTGAGTTTATTTCATATAAAGCAGTGAAGCGCAAGGCGAACTTCGAGGAGGTAAGAAATTGAGAGAAAGGCTTCAAGCATTGAGGAAGGAAAATGCTGAAGCAGAAGCTTAATGTTGATTGTTTCTGCATATCAGGTCACAGTTTAAATTTGGTTTAGTAACCTAATAAATGACCAGTGGTTGATGCTTAAGTTTACTAGAACTTTCATCTCAGAATGGTCAATGCTTAGTTTCAAGTAGGGCTTTTAATTTTTTAGTTTTCAGAATCTCCTGAATGACTTTTATATCCAATTCGAACCATGTTTTCATAGATCTTGTCACGTTAAGAACCCAATTTAAAAGTAAAACCTCTGTCAATCCCTACAATCTTTGAGAAACAAGAAACCCGTCCGAGCTAAAAATGGGTCATTATAAATCTATCATTATGATAGCAACAAGGGAGTTTCTTAAAGTACAGTTTTAAGGAATCTGTTTCTGCTTTTACAAAGATGGATGGTTTGGCAAGTACTGAGTACTGAAAGTTTGAAACCACATTTGCTGCAGTTATCTGTTACTGCTAAAATGGCTCTAGAAATTGCTTTCCACAACCATATCTTCAATTAGTTTTTTGATTGCAGGGAAATGCCTGTAATTGGTGTGGTAAAGTTACAGGGTCAATACATATCCTGGATCAGTCCCTCAGACCATGATCTTAAGGACCGAATTTTGCACTTGTTTCTCGACTCCTTTTAGTTGCAGCACTTGACCCTGTCATAATCAAGTACATGACATGAATATTTTAGACATTTGAATTGTTCTCATGGCTCATACTACATAAAGGCTGTGCTGCAATTTTATAAAAAGTGTCTTCAGTAACATAAAATGTTACAATTTAATATGAAACATTGAACTTCTATTGTAGAATGTCAACTTAAAACAAAAATGACTTTCACAAGAATCACTATGTTCCATCCTAAAACTGTAAAGCTCCATGTTACCAAAAAGAAAATTGATTCTGTAATGTTACAGCGCTTAAATTGTACCAGAAGCTATATATAACAAATACGTGTTATGTAGTAGAATGCAAAATTTATAGTTATAATAAATATTACCATCATTAACTAAAAGTTTCTGAGCAAAACATGGAGCTTCATACCACTTGGTTGCTGTGCAGGAGACAGCAGAATGGGTACTCGAAGGGGTCTAGTAGAAACATTATGAGATTCATTGTTATGTTGCTGTTCATTTGTGCCAATGCTTGGAGGCTCAGCTTTTACCATGCCTGTCAATTACATTATCAGGACATCCCCGCGTGGGTGCAAAAAATAAACAAATGCCTAAGCTTGATGCATACAATCTCTTGGAACCTATCTAAACCAACATGGCAGATAAGACTCATGAGAAGGTCTAGCTAAAAATCAATAACAAAACACCACCCTCAGGGCAAACCCTAAGCTTGACACTTTCCATTGCCTATAAGACTCAACTAGTACCCTTCGAAGCTCTTTCAGAATGATTCCGGTGAATCATCATTATGTTCTTGTTCAGCTTTTTCTGTAGATTCTCACAAGCGGGTTCAGGGTCTACTTCGGCTGGAATTACTTGAGGAGCCTCATTTTGTAACCGTGCTTGCTCTGATGGTGTCGAAGCAGCAGCGACTATCCAGTACTCGGCAAGTGTATACAAAAGATGCATGTTAAGGATCAGTAACCTTTTTTTTTTAATGCTATAGGAAAGGTAGTTTGGTATGATGCATATATATATTAGGATGAAAACTACGCAAGGAATAAGAAATAACACCATCAAAGGATATTCTCTCCTCATCCCTTCTCATTGCTCTATCAATGCGGTTTTGAATGAAACCAGCTCCCTTGCAATCCACTATGTTTTCACGGAAAATGCCAAGTGGGAAAAAAATATATCAAAAGCAAGTGAAGGAAAAGATAGAAGTTCACATAACCCAGAAAATAAAAGATATTGAGGAGCATTTAAAAGTACAATGAAATGTAATCATTCAACAGAATTTAGAAAGCATATCAACACTCAAATGGGGCATCAAAAGTTACCAAAAAAAAAAAAAAAAAAAAAGGAAAAAAAACAGTGACTATATTAAGAAAGTTGACCAAAAGTTACACACATGTTTAGTTATATACTCATGCAAGCTTCTCGCCTTATGTTAAGTTCCACCTGCAGTCAACACATTCGGTCAAGAGGCTGTTTAAAATGCTTTACTTTTATGTTGATTTACTCACCACCCTATTATGAGACAACGTTGCACTTGATATGTAAGTTCTAAACAAAAATGCGATAGCCCAAGAGACATGAAGGACAATAGCTCCAAGAAAAGTTAGCAGAACTAAATCTCATGGAGTGCTGCCAGAAATGATGCATATGAAGTTAAAGATTGCAAATCAAATTGCCGAGAGTATGAAAAAACTTACAACAGTTGGCCTTTTCAAACGGCCGTTTATCACTCTCTGCCGCCAATCCTCACACTCATCCTGCAAATAATAACACTTAATAACTATAATATTATTGATTTTCGATAGTTTCGTATGGATTCAAAGAACTTCTCTTTTTTCTTCTATCTTTGTTTTCCTTTTTGGGGTGACAGATGACAAACTAGCTGTTTTTATCAGTTAAAAAGACTGAACTTTAATTGTGTTCCATAGTTTGTCTTATATGAGTAAACTTTTTGTTTGTACGTATCAAATCTTTGGAAAGGAATACAAACTAACGTTGTCTTTACCTCATGGAAGTCATCGTCTGACAACTTGGAAATGGATAACTCTTTCACCCTATTGGAAAGTTGAAGAAGAATTTCTGATTTCAAGCTTGATGGTCTCTTAATGTCTGTAATAATTTAAGATGATAATGTGCAGAATGTCAATGACTAAGCCAAAAGACACTAGTACATATAAAGTAGCATTCTGGGGTAAAAGAATTCATAAACTGATTATGAAGGAATCCAATAGTGGGATAAATTAGCTGAACTATTATAGTTGTTGCCAAGACATTACCTATAACTTGAACAAGCTGATGAGAATTTTTTGCAAATAATCATTTGGGTCCGATTTCAATCTCACAAAAACTTCCAATTATTAGCATCGAAAGTTTCTGGTTGCTTCGCAAGATCCTCCACTAAACTCCTCCTTAAAGACCAGCTTGATATTCTTAGGGACTACAGAAGCAAAACAGCTTTTCTGGACTTCTGCAGCTACTTCCTTGTGATCAGATTTTTTAAATGAGCTTAATTTTTCCATCTTTTTTCCACCACTGAGTCAATTCATCAACAGTTTCCAAACTACTTTTAATTCTCCTCCGAATGATCTATGTTCTCAGCAAGGTGGCAGTCAGTCGGTTATATATACTGTTTCATTCACTGACTTCCTTCCCAGAGAGGCTGCAGCCTTGCATCACAAATGATAATTTTCTTTCTTTTGGGTGAAAAAGCCGGTTTTCCTTGCAGTATTCGGTAAAATGGTTGTAATATCATACAGCGAGAGTTCACAGGTTGTATCTTTACCAATGGAATCAAGAAAGTCTAGTAGGGTTTTTGATCCCACCCAATGAACTCCCTTTCTTTGAACGCCTTTCTTTTCGTGGCAGATTGCTTTCTTTTTGATCTATTCCTTTCCCAATTTTTTGTCGTCTGCTGTGTCACCTAAATCATCATAATCAGATACACGAGTTGACTTTCATCTAAATTCTTCAATATCTTCTTCCCCTTCGTCATATTCATACGAATCAGGAGACCATATGTTTTCCCCTCTTATAGATTATATGCCGAAATAACATGTCTGAAGTAAATCCTTCTTTTTCCTTTACTATCTGCCAATACCCATAAAATAGAACTCTATTGTGTCTTCAGCATAGAAATCTATTTTTCCTGTTGAAAAAGAAAACACACGGAAAACACAAATAAAAGATTTGTTAAATTCTATAGGGCCAAGCCACGACTGGTCTCTTCTACACAAATTATTAATAAGAGTAAACTAAACTAACCCAAAGCCTAAATATTAAAAGATCACAATAAACCTAGAAAGCTTGGTCTGGAAGGAACATCACAAGCTCATACCCCATTTGGGTTAACATCTTTCTTTTCTTCTATAAGCACCACAAGCTCTAAGCAATTATCGCAGAATCCTTTATCCTCTAACTACTGCAAACCCAGAATCAAGAGGCAGTGTCCACATACAGCAGACGGGCAGCACAAGCAATAAAACTTCGGAGCTTTCTTGCATTCATAGAAAAATGCCAACCTGAAATAAGAATTATCATTTCAAAAGCTAGCACAGAGAATACTACAAACTGATGCAAGAAAGAAAAGGTAAAAACAAATGAAGAAAGAGAAAATTCTATCAAAAAGAAACTGTCTGTGTGTCCATAGTCTATTTCACGAGAGTAAGCACCAAACTGTTGATGTTAATAGTACACTACAATCAAATTATATGGATGAAAGGGCAGGAATTCTTCTCCTAGCCAATAGATTTTTCTTCAAACCATGCAAGACTGTAATGTACATGTTGCTAGGAACATTAAGCGATGTATCTATAAACATCAGGCATTGTGCAGAACATGAAGCAGAAACATGAAAAAGTGGAAAAAAGAAAGTATGGCAGAAGAATTGGCAGTCCAGCACAATGCACATACGCAAAACTATGTTATTACCGCAAGTCCACTGATCTTTACTTTCCAGTAGAGAATAATCCTGGCCTAAACAGTCTGGTGATAAGACTTAAGACAGTCCCTGCAGGCAATGGTATGACAAAGTAATGGGATAGAAAGCATCCTCTATCAAGCCATGAAAGTAAGAGATATAGCAACGAGACATCATTTAAATTGCTTAAGATATCCATGTGCCTTGTATGACCAAAACTTACTTTCTGAAGGGCAGATTAATGTTTTAGAAGTTTCTAAAGCAATTCTTTCTGTCAATAAGGGAAAAAAAATTGAATATTCAACCTTCAAATAAAGTCATTTTAGACTTATCAAACTTATAAAAGTATTTTGACAGCATAAAATGCAGATAATACATATCTTTGCTTGATATTATCATCTTCAAACTAAACACGTTCTATATTTTCAATTTTCCTGATTTATAAAAGAAAGAATTCACATATTCAAAAAAATATAAAACAAAAGTGAATAATGTACCTCAAAATTGACAGGATAGAGTTATTGTATATATGTTAGGTACACAACAAAAGTTTAAGGAACCATTACTCTTAACAACAGCTAAAAACGTCAAAACTGGAAGTAAATGCAGCAGTGCCAAGTAGATGGGAAATATACTTAAAAAAAGAAATAGTGGGCCGAGAGAGAAAATAATACAATAAAAACAAAACAAATCTCAGAACCAGCATCAGCAACCTCATTCATCACACAGGCGACCAAAGGACACAGTGAAAAGACAGAACCATCCTTCATTCCTAACAGATAAAAAAAAAAAAAAAAAAAAAAAACTCAAAGACATTCGTCCAAAAGACCAACCAAAACTGGACAATTTTTGTTCTGAAAAATGATATAAAGCTTATAGAAAGTTTCTGAAACTTACCTGTAGTCACAGATCCTGAGAGAGCCGCCATCCTTGCAGATGAAGCACCAATCCTCGGCTATTTCTTCCTTCTTTAATTCTTCTTCTTCCCATTCTCAAAAGCTCTCAACTTTATCCCAAAATGCAATTTCAAGACCAACCCAAAGGATTGATTGCAAGAACTTCTCCTAAACCCGGCAAAAACAAGAAAAAAATGAGAAAATCTTGCAATTTCTTGAAATTCACGATAAACAGTGCGCCAAAAAAAAAAAAAAAAAAAACCCACCTCACAAAGTAAAGGTTAGGACTGTTAGGAACTTTGATCATTAGCTTCTTTTGACTCATAATCTAAGCTTCATTTGACTTTAAAAAAAAAAAAAAAAAAACCTAGAACTTTGAACGCATTAATGGAGAAATATCTCACTAAAACAACACCGAAAATCCCTTAAATAAAGGGAAACTTTGAACTTTTATAAACAAGCTTCAGTTTTGCATGTGATTATCAAATGGGTTTTTGATAAATAATCAAAAATCCATTAAAAAAACTCAAAAATAAATAAAGCCGTCATTTTTCAAACGCAAATGCCATGATTCTCAGTCCAAAACTAGAACAAAAACAAAAACACAAACCCATTTGAAACAAAGCAAATGACACACCTTGCGGCTGAAGAAACCGAGAACTACAGGCCAAAATGGAGCTTTGGAGGCAACCCTTTAGTTATAGAGAAGCAGTTGAAACAGAGAATCGAAATAGTTTTATGAGCATTTAATGACGTTTGCTCGGGGTATATTTTTCTGGAAATTATTCTCTAGAAAAACCCAAAAAAATGAAATAAAATCTGTCTCGAAAATAGGAAGAAAATTTAATGAAAATTTACCTTTTTTCGAAAATAAATAAAACCTTATATAATATTAAAGTAAGGTAATCTATGGAAGTAATATAACTTTTTTTAGAGCCTTGAAATTTTAAAAAAAAAAAAAAGTCAGTTTAGAGCATAATTTAATGATTCAAATGAAAAGTACCGTTAATTCATATGTTGATTATTGTTTTAATGTTTTATTCAAATCTTTTTGTGCTGGTTTTATAATATGTTGGTTTAAGAAAATCATAGATTAAAAATTTTAATTATAGTGATTGCACCTTCCCACGGGCATGACAACACCAGCCATCGTGTAAAATATGATGATACCAGTGTAAAATATGATGATACCAGTAAGGCCGAACGACATCGTCCCCCAAAGTTGCTTTAAAGACCATTCACTATCCAAAAAGTTTTAAAATGACAATTCACTACTCGAAAAGTTTCAAAATGACAATTATCTACTTTATGTTAATATCTGTTAATCAAATGTGAGACTGTAAAGACAAAAACACCCTAACCTTTAAATCCAAAACTTATTAGGCAGGAATTGCATCGGACCGAGTTTTGGCCACCATCTCCAATAGCTAAACTTGTCGTCCGCCACAGCCTAGCAAGCAACTGCCAACGTCCTCTCTCCCTGTAACAACATCACTACCATCCTTCCACACCACATAACCGAAACAAAATAGCAGACAGGGCAAAGCCTGCCTACTACAGAGATCGTTGCTGCCCTCACCAGCAAATCCCTCATAACCCCCAATAGCAGCGGCCTGTATAAGAAAACTAGAATAAGAAAACCAGACCTGCCAGAAAAGGACAAGAGCAAAACACCCCACTGCCAACCTTGATAGATCAAAAAACAGAAGCCAAAACCCACACACCCAACCTGCCAATAGCAAACATTAGCCCACATCCAAAGCACCCCCGGTCTAGACATAAAACACATTCACGATCTACTCCATTCAAGCAACAAAATCATAAACTCGTCATCATCTCACAACATTTAATAGTGAAATCATAAATTCATTTCAACACCATAGTCATAGACCTATAATCTATAGCAAATTATATTAGAATAATAAAATCACACACTCGTAAATTTATTATTAAAAAAAAGTTGTGAGAGTAGTTTTGACGAAAATGGGACTGAAGAAGAGGAAGAAATTGGGAGTGAAGAAGAAGAAGAAGTTGTGAGTGTAGAATATACCATGTCAATCCTGCCAAACCTCGGAGGGCTTTAAAGAATTATTCTTATTCCAAGAGGGAGAATAATTCTAAATATGAAAAAGAATCAAAATGATTGGACATATGACATTGAGTCTTGAGTAAGCATTAAATGGCGTCTGGCTCAAAGCATGAATCAGGTGAAAAATATTCTTGAAATTATTCTCTATAGAAAAAATAAAAAATAAAAATCAGCCTCGAAAAGAGAAAATTACATTGAGATATTACGCGTTTCCAAATTCCAATCAAGGACTAAATTATTAAGGCTATGTTGGCTGCATCCAATTTACTAATTTAGTATTCGAATTGAATTATAGATACATAACTTTATGCCTTGACATTGTGAGAAATTACATTTACCCCCTATCGCTAATGACTTGATCTTGCATAATTAACGAGATATCGATGAAAAGATATTCAAGTAATTGCAATATAAAATTCCGAATATAAAAATTTGAATGTACATTATTCATCTTTTTTTTTTTAATTTAAAATTGTAGTAATTTTAATTAAAAAATTGTAAATGCTTTGTTTTTCTTAAGCTTAAATTTGTCTCTAATTTTTGCCTTTTTAAAATATAATAAAAAGGGTAAAAAGGTACTTTTGCAAATAATACAAAGGTAAAAAGGGAGCATTTATAATTATATAATATGCTGGATAACTTAATTATAATGGNACTTTATATATCCGAATTCGAAACCATTGTTTTCATAGAAATCTTTGTCACGTTAAGAACCCAAATTTAAAAGTAAAACCTCTGTCAATCCCTACAATCTTTGAGAAACAAGAAACCCGTCCGAGATAAAAATGGGTCATTATAAATCTATCATTATGATAGCAACAATGGGAGTTTCTTAAAGTACAGTTTTAAGGAATCTGTTTCTGCTTTTACAAAGATGGATGGTTTGGCAAGTACTGAGTACTGAAAGTTTGAAACCAAATTTGCTGCAAGTTATCTGTTACTGCTAAAATGGCTCTAGAAATTGCTTTCCACAACCAATATCTTCAATTAGTGTTTTGATTGCAGGGAAATGCCTGTAATTGGTGTGGTAAAGTTACAGGGTCAATACATATCCTTGGATCAGTCCCTCAGACCATGATCTTAAGGACCGAATTTTGCACTTGTTTCTCGACTCCTTTTAGTTGCAGCACTTGACCCTGTCATAATCAAGTACATGACATGAATATTTTAGACATTTGAATTGTTCTCATGGCTCATACTACATAAAGGCTGTGCTGCAATTTTATAAAAAGTGTCTTTCAGTAACATAAAATGTTACAATTCTAATATGAAACATTGAACTTCTATTGTAGAATGTCAACTTAAAACAAAAATGACTTTCACAAGAATCACTATGTTCCATCCTAAAACTGTAAAGCTCCATGTTACCAAAAAGAAAATTGATTCTGTAATGTTACAGCGCTTAAATTGTACCAGAAGCTATATATAACAAATACGTGTTATGTAGATAGAATGCAAAATTTATAGTTAATAATAAATATTACCATCATTAACTAAAAGTTTCCTGAGCAAAACATGGAGCTTCACTACCACTTGGTTGCTGTGCAGGAGACAGCAGAATGGGTACTCGAAGGGGTCTAGTAGAAACATTATGAGATTCATTGTTATGTTGCTGTTCATTTGTGCCAATGCTTGGAGGCTCAGCTTTTACCATGCCTGTCAATTACATTATCAGGACATCCCCGCGTAGGGTGCAAAAAATAAACAAATGCCTAAGCTTGATGCTATACAATTCTCTTGGAACCTATCTAAACCAACATGGCAGATAAGACTCATGAGAAGGAATCTAGCTAAAAATCAATAACAAAACACCACCCTCAGGGCAATCCCCTAAGCTTGACACTTTCCATTGCCTATAAGACTCAACTAGTACCCTTCGAAGCTCTTTCAGGGAATGATTCCGGTGAATCATCATTATGTTCTTGTTCAGCTTTTTCTGTAGATTCCTCACAAGCGGGTTCAGGTTCTACTTCGTCTGGAATTACTTGAGGAGCCTCATTTTGTAACCGTGCTTGCTCTGATGGTGTCTGAAGCAGCAGCAGACTATCCATGTACTCGGCAAGTGTATACAAAAGATGCATGTTAAGGATCAGTAACCTTTTTTTTTTTAATGTCTATAGAGAAAGGTAGTTTGGATATGATGCATAATTTATTAGTGTAAAACTACGCAATGGAATAAGAAATAACACCATCGGATATTCTCTCCTCCATCCCTTCTCATTTGCTCTATCAATGCGGTTTTGTAATGAAACCAGCTCCCTTGCAATCCACTATGTTTCACGGAAAATGCCAAGTGGGAAAAAAATATATCAAAAGCAAGTGAAGGAAAAAGATAGAAGTTCACATAACCCAGAAAATAAAAGATATTGAGGAGCATTTAAAAGTACAATGAATGTAATCATTCAACAAATTTAGAAAGCATATCAACACTCAAATGGGGCATCAAAAGTTACCAAAAAAAAAAAAAAACAAAAAGGAAAAAAAACAGTGACTATATTAAGAAGTTACACAAGTTACACCCATGTTTAGTTATATCCTCATGCAAGCTCTCGCCTTATGTTCGTTCCACCTGCAGTCAACACATTCCGGTCAAGAGGCTGTTTAAATGCTTTACTTTTATGTGATTTACTCACCACCTTATTATGAGACAACGTTGCACTTGATATGTAAGTTCAAACAAAATGCGATAGCCCTAAGAGACATGAAGGACAATAGCTCCAAGAAAAAGTTAGCAGAACTAAATCTCATTGGAGTGCTGCCAGAAATGATGCATATGAAGTTAAGATTGCAAATCAAATTGCCGAGAGTATGAAAAAACTTACAACAGTTGGCCTTTTCAAACGGCCGTTTATCACTCTCTGCCGCAAATCCTCACACTCATCCGCAAATAATAACACTTATACTATAATATTATTGATTTTCGATAGTTTCGTATGGATTCAAAGAACTTCTCTTTTTTCTTCTATCTTTGTTTTCCTTTTTGGGGTGACAGATGACAAACTACTGTTTATCAGTTAAAAAGACTGAAACTTTTAATGTGTTCCATAGTTTGTCTTATATGAGTTAAACTCTTTGTTTGTACGTATCAAATCTTTCTGGAAAGGAATACAAACTAACGTTGTCTTTACTCATGGAAGTCATCGTCTGACAACTTGGAAATGGATAACTCTTTCACCCTATTGGAAAGTTGAAGAAGAATTTCTGTTTCAAGCTTGATGGTCTCTTAATGTCTGTACTAATTTAAGATGATAATGTGCAGAAGATCGACTAAGCCAAAAGACACTAGTACAATATAAAGTAGCATTCTGGGGTAAAAGAATTCAAATAAACTGATTATGAAGGAATCCAATAGTGGATAAATTAGCTGAACTATTATAGTTGTTGCCAAGACATTACCTATAACTTGAACAAGCTGATGAGATTTTCTGCAAATAATCATTTGGGTCCGATTCAATCTCACAAAACTTCCAATTACTTTAGCATCGAAAGTTTCTGGTTGCTTCGCAAGATCCTCCACTAAACTCCTCCTTAAGTAGACAAGCTTATATTCTTAGGGACTACAGAAGCAAAACAGCTTTTCTGGACTTCTGCAGCTACTTCCTTGTGATCAGATTTTTTAAATGAGCTTAATTTTCCATTCTTTTTTCCACCACTGAGTCCCATTCATCAACAGTTTCCAAACTACTTTTAGATTCACTCTCCGAATGATCTATGTTCTCAGCAAGGTCGGCAGTCAGTCGGTTATTATACTGTTTCTATTCACTGACTTCCTTCCCAAGAGAGGCTGCAGCCTTGCATCACAAATGAATTTTCTTTCTTTCTGGTGTGAAAACCGGTTTCCTTGCAGTATTCGGTAATAATGGTTGTATATCATACAGCGAGAGTTCACAGTTGTATCTTTACCAATGGAATCAAGAAAGTCTAGTAGGGTTTTTATCCCCCAATGAACTCCTTTTCTTTGAACTCGCCTTTCTTTTCGTGGCAGATTGCTTCTTTTTGATCTATTCCTCTTCCCAATTTTCTTGTCGTCTGCTGTGTCACCTAAATCATCATAATCAGATACACGAGTTGACTTCATCTACAAATTCTTCAATATCTTCTCCCTTCGTCATATTCATACGAATCAGGAGACCTATGATTTTTCCCCTTCTTCAATAGATTATATGCCGAAATAACATGTTCTGAAGTAATCCTTCTTTTTCCTTTACTATCGCCATACCCATTAAAATAGAACTCTATTGTGTCTTCAGCATAGAAACTATTTTTTCCTGTTAAAAGAAAACACACGGAAAACACAAATAATAAGATTTGTTAAATTCTATAGGGCCAAGCCACGACTGGTCTCTTCTACACAAATTATTAATAGGTAAACTAAACTAACCCAAAGCCAAAATATTAAAAGATCACAATAAACCTAGAAAGCTTGGTCTGAAGGAACACACAAGCTCATACCCCATTTGGGTTAACATCTTTCTTTTCTTCTATAGCACCACAAGCTCTAAGCAATTATCGCGAATCCTTTACTCCCTCTAACTACTGCAAACCCAGAATCACAGAGGCAGTGTGTCCCACATACAGCAGACGGCAGCACAAGCAATAAAACTTCGGAGCTTTCTTGCATCATAGCAAAAATGCCAACCTGAAATAAGAATTATCATTTCAAAAGCTAGCACAGAGAATACTACAAACTGATGCAAGAAAGAAAGGTAAAACAAATGAAGAAAGAGAAAATTCTATCAAAAAGTAAACTTGCTGTTGTCCATAGTTCTTTTCACGAGAGTAAGCACCAAACTGTTGATGTTAATAGTACACTACATATTCAAATTCATATGATGAAAGGGCAGGAATTCTTCTCCTAGCCAAATAGTTTTTTCTTCCAAACCATGCAAGACTGTAATGTACATGTTGCTAGGAACATTAAGCGATGTATCTATAAACTCAGGCATTGTGCAGAAACATGAAGCAGAAACATGAAATAGTGGAAAACAGAAAGTATGGCAGAAGAATTGGCAGTCCAGCACAATGCACATACGCAAACATGTATTACCGCAAGTCCACTGATCTTTTACTTTCCAGTAGAGAATAATCCTGCCTAAACAGTCTGGCTGATAAGACTTAAGACAGTCCCTGCAGGCAATGGCTATGACAAGTTAATGGGATAGACAGCATCCTCTATCAAGCCATGAAAGTAGAGGATATAGCAACGAGACATCATTAAAATTAGCTTAAGATATCCTGTGCCTTGTAATGACCAAACTTACTTTCTGAAGGGCAGATTAATGTTTTAGAAGTTTCTAAAGCAATTTCTTTCTTGTCAATAAGGGAAAAAAAATTGAATATTCAAACCTTCAAATAAAAGTCATTTTAGACTTATCAAACTTATAATAAGTATTTTGACAGCATAAAATGCAGAATAATCATATCTTTGCTTGATATTATCATCTTCAAACTAAACACGTTCTATATTTTCATTTTCCTGATTATAAAAGAAAGAATATCACCATATTCAAAAAAATATAAAACAAAAGTGAATAATGTACCTCAAAATTGACAGGATAGGTTATTGTATATATGTTAGGTACATTACAACAAAAAGTTTTAAGGAACCATTACTCTTAACAACAGCTAAAAACGTCACAAACTGGAAAGTAAATGCAGCAGATGCCAAGTAGATGGGAAATATACTTAAAAAAAGAAATAGTGGGCCGAAGAGAAAAAATACAATAAAACAAACAAATCTCAGAACCAGCATCAGCAACCTCATTCATCAACAGCGACCAAAGGCCACAGTGAAAAGACGAACATCCCTTCATTCTAACAGTAAAAAAAAAAAAAAAAAAAAAACTCAAAGACTTCGTCCAAAAGACCACACCAAAACTGGACATTTTTGTTCTGAAAATCTGATATAAATGCTTATAGAAAGTTTCTGAAACTTACCTGTAGTCACAGATCCGAGAGAGCCGCCATCCTTGCAGATGAAGCACCAATCCTCGGCTATTTCTTCCTTCTTTAATTTCTTTCTTCTTCCCATCTCTCAAAAGCTCTCAACTTTAATCCCAAAATGCAATTTCAAGACCAACCCAAAGGTTGATTGCAAGAACTTCTCCTAAACCCGGCAAAATCAAGAAAATAAATGAGAAAATCTTGCAATTTCTTGAAATCACGATAAACAGTGCGCCAAAAAAAAAAAAAAAAAACCCACCTCAACAAAGTAAAAAGTTATGGACTTTTAGGAACTTTGATCATTAGCTTCTTTTGACTCATATCAAGCTTCATTTGACTTTAAAAAAAAAAAAAAAAACCTAGAACTTTGAACGCATTAAGGAGAAATATCTCACTAAAACAACACCGAAAATCCCTTAAATAAAGGGAAACTTTGAACTTTTATAAAACGCTTCAGTTTTGCATGTGATTATCAAATGGGTTTTTGATAAATAATCAAAAATCCATTAAAAAAACTCAAAAATAATAAAGCCGTCATTTTTCAAACGCAAATGCCATGATTCTCAGTCCAAAACTAGAACAAAACAAAAACACAAACCCATTTGAAACAAAGCAATGACCACCTTGCGGCTGAAGAAACCGAGAACTACAGGCCAAAATGGAGCTTTGGAGGCAACCCTTTAGTTATAGAGAAGCGTTGAAACAGAGAATCGAAATAGTTTTATGAGCATTTATGACGTTTGCTCGGGGTATATTTTTCTGGAAATTATTCTCTAGAAAAACCCAAAAAAATGAAATAAATCTGTCTCGAAAATAGGAAGAAAATTTATGAAAATTACCTTTTTTCGAAAATAAATAAACCTTATATATATTAAAGTAAGGTAATCTATGGAAGTAATATAACTTTTTTTAGAGCCTTAAATTTTAAAAAAAAAAAAGTCAGTTTAGAGCATAATTTAATGATTCAAAGGAAAGTACCGTTAATTCATAGTTTGATTATTGTTTTAATGTTTTATTCAAATCTTTTGTGCTGGTTTTATAATATGTTGGTTTAAGAAATCATAGATTAAAAATTTTAATTATAGTGATTGCACCTTCCCACGGCATGACAACACCAGCCATCGTGTAAATATGATGATACCAGTGTAAAATATGATGATACCAGTAGGCCGAACGACATCGTCCCCCAAAGTTGCTTTAAAGACCATTCACTATCCAAAAAGTTTTTAAAATGACAATTCACTACTCGAAAAGTTTCAAAATGACAATTATCTACTTTATGTTATATCTGTTAATCAAATGTGAGACTGTAAAGACAAAAACACCCTAACCTTTAATCAAAACTTATTAGGCAGGAATTGCATCGGACCGAGTTTTGGCCACCATCTCCAATAGCTAAACTTGTCGTCCGCCACAGCCTAGCAAGCAACTGCCAACGTCCTCTCTCCCTGTAACAACATCACTACCATCCTTCCACACCACATAACCGAAACAAAATAGCAGACAGGGCAAAGCCTGCCTACTACAGAGATCGTTGCTGCCCTCACCAGCAAATCCCTCATAACCCCCAATAGCAGCGGCCTGTATAAGAAACTAGAATAAGAAAACCAGACCTGCCAGAAAAGGACAAGAGCAAAACACCCACTGCCAACCTTGATAGATCAAAAAACAGAAGCCAAAACCCACACACCCCACTGCCAATAGCAAACATTAGCCCACATCCAAAGCACCCCCGGTCTAGACATAAAACCATTCACGATCTACTCCATTCAAGCAACAAAATCATAAACTCGTCATCATCTCACAACATTAATAGTGAAATCATAAATTCATTTCAACACCATAGTCATAGACCTTAATCTATAGCAAATTTATTAGAATAATAAAATCACACACTCGTAAATTTATTATTAAAAAAAAGTTGTGAGAGTAGTTTTGACGAAAATGGGACTGAAGAAGAGGAAGAAATTGGGAGTGAAGAAGAAGAGAAGTTGTGAGTGTAGAATATACCATGTCAATCCTCCAACTCGGAGGGCTTTAAAGAATTATTCTTATTCCAAGAGGGAGAATAATTCTAAATATGAAAAAGAATCAAAATGATTGGACATATGACATTGAGTCTTGAGTAAGCATTATGGCGTCTGGCTCAAAGCATGAATCAGGTGAAAAATATTCTTGAAATTATTCTCTATAGAAAAAATAAAAATAAAAATCAGCCTCGAAAAGAGAAAATTACATTGAGATATTACGCGTTTCCAAATTCCAATCAAGGACTAAATTATTAAGCTATGTTGGCTGCATCCAATTACTAATTTAGTATTCGAATTATTATAGATACATAACTTTATGCCTTGACATTTGAGAAATTACATTTACCCCCTATCGCTAATGACTTGATCTTGCATAATTAACGAGATATCGATGAAAAGAATTCAAGAATTGCAATATAAAATTCCGAATATAAAAATTTGAATGTACATTATTCATCTTTTTTTTTTTAATTTAATTGTAGTAATTTTAATTAAAAAATTGTAATGCTTTGTTTTTCTTAAGCTTAAATTTGTCTCTAATTTTTGCCTTTTTAATATAATAAAAAGGGTAAAAAGGTACTTTTGCAAATAATACAAAGGTAAAAGGGAGCATTTATAATTTATATATGCTGGATAACTTAATTATAATGGATAATTATATATAAAATTATAAATATTAGATTTTATATGATTATTCTAATGGCTTGATTCATATCAATAAAAAGATAGATATTGTGAAAATTATATGTCACAAATATGGTAGGTAGCCATTACGGATACTCGAATACAAATCTCTAGGTAATCCTCTCAAATAACTATATCTTGTCATCCAACCACAATCCTTTGATTCTAATTTTTTTTTTTTTTTTTTTTTGTATTAATTAGATTATAAAACATATGATTAAAATATTAAATTTAAATTTAAATTACAATAAAGGTAAGAAATGACATAATCAACATTTTATTTTACCTAATCATATTGAAACTCCAATGAAAATAACTATTTGAAATATTTTCCCTTCTTTCCAGTATTTTGTGGTCCATTGGTATCCCTTTACACTCTTGACATGATAAAAAATTAATCAGAGTGTATTTTATTTTTCAG